GGGTGGTAGAGGTGGGGCCCCGGGCCTCCGCTTCCCCATCGGAGCGGGCGCTGACGCCCCTTAGCACTACTCTTGCTGGTGGGATGCTAGGATTACCGATACCCAATTTCTTTTTCTTTTTTTGAGACAGGGTCTTGCTATGTAGTTCAGGCTGACCTTGAGCTCACTATGTATCCCGGGCTGGCTTCCATTTCATGGCAATCCTCCTGCCTCTGCCTCCCAAGTGCTAGGTTTACAGACCTGTGCCATCACGCCTGGCTCACCTTTTTTTACTCACCTATTTTTGCTTTCATCATTTTTTAAACCTTTGTTTCTTTTCTCGTCACGCCAGCATCTCTGATGTTAATTTAAACATGTGTTACATCCACTTCTTCCCCATTTTTTCAATTTTAAGATAGTATTACTTGTGATTTGTGAGTCACTTTTTGATAGTGTTTTACACTTCCATTTGGATAATTTAATTATTGCGAAGTTTTCCAGTTAACATGCTAAATTGTATCAATATCTTTTTTAGATCCATATGTCAAACTTCTCCTTGATGCTATGAAGCACTCAGGTTGGTAAGTAAATCTTCTAAAATTGCTTTTCTATATTCTGGCCGCCAAAACCAAAGATGTAAAATGTCAGCGCTCCTTAAAGAGTTCTCCCTTTGCGTCATCAGGCCTTTCAGATGTTTACTGTTTTTTTTTTTTGGTCTTTTTGAGACAGGGTCTCGCTATGCAGTTCAGGCTGGCCTTGAGCTCACTTTGTAGCCCAGGCTGGTCTCAGACTCACACTGATCCTTCCTGCCTCAGCCTCCCAAGTGCTGGGATTACAGGTGTGTGCCACAACACCCGGCCAGATGTTAACTTTAAGAGTCACAGGAAGTGACCTCAGGTGCACTTTCTAACATTCTGGCCCAAGAGCAGGAACTCTATCTAGCATATTGCCAGTATGGTCTTAATCAGTTGGCCAAAGGGTTTATGTAATGATGTCATACGCAGACTCTGAACTGGGATGCGTTTTGCAGACAGTCTCCCTGTTTCGCGCATGCGAAAACTTGGGGTGTTAGCTTGCTTTCCCAGGGTTTCATGTGCGTTAGTGGGAGTTGGGGTCTACTGTGTGGTGAAAGGTCTCCTGGCTCCTGGCTCACGGCTGACCCCTTATACACAGGCCTTCTGCTGGAAGTCTTTTTTTTGGGGGGGGTAAGTCCTTCTGGACATTGTCTCTTTAATCTGTTCCTACCTTTCAGTGCTGTTAGCAAAGAGCGACACTTCTCTTGTGAAGACTGTGATGGAAATGTCAGCGGGGGCTTTGATGCTTCATCATCTCAGGTAGGCTTTCTGCCCATTGTCTTCTTCCTTTTCTTTTTCTTTCGTCTTTTTGAGACAGGGTCTCGCTATGCAGCTCAGGCTGGCCTTCAGCTCGCTTTGTAGCCCAGGCTGGTCTCGAACTCGCAGCGATCCTCCTGCCTCAGCCTCCTGAGTGCTGGGATTACAGGTGTGCGCCTTCATGCCTGGCGTGTGTCTTCCTTTTCGTCCTTTTTCCTGGGACTTGCCAAGCACCTTCCGCATGCGGGGCATTCTGTGTGGTCTGCTTTGTGAGTGACTCAGAAACAGTGAGTTAGTCCTGGTCTTACACTTAAGGAGTTCACACTGCGGGAGGTAAGACATGAACGCAGTCCTAAACTTCAAGGCAGGCTAAACTCTTTCAGATGGGCTTGTTGTATTAGTCATTTCTTCGTTGGCGTAACACGTATATGAGGTAATGAACTTACAGTGCGGAAAGGCTTCTTTTGGGTCAAGGTTTCAACCCACTGCGGTCACGTGGTCCGTGTGGTCCGTGGTGAGGGAGGACACTGCCTTGAGGTGGCTGGGAGGGGAAGGGACAGGAGAGGGCTGGGGCTCGTGGCCCCTTCAGGAGTGTGCTCCGCCCCTGAGCTTCCTTCCGAAAGCGTCCCCTCCCCCAGGAGCGCCTTCACCTGTCGGCCCCTGGGGGAGCTACACCAAAGGTCTGGGTTGCCACGGTGGGACACGATGTGGCACGGGACAGCACGTGGTTGAAAGACACCACAGACTCACCTGGAGGGTACGGAGCCTGTCCAGGGGCAGAGAAGACAGAGGCTGTTGCCCAAGCGGCAGCGGCACGGGCAGGTGTGGCGTGCTGGGAAGGACAAGGCAGGTTAGGCAGTGGCGTGGGGTCTGGTTTAACTGGAGGGCGGCTCTGAATGCTAAGGGAAGCATAAAACCTTCACGTGGTGAGCAGTGAGACCTCCAGTGAGCGTTGTTGATGAAGGGGAGTGAGGTTTCTCACCTGTACAATGCGGGTAACGATTGTATCCAATAGAATGATTATGAGAATGAAGGGAGATGTCTCTCGTAAAGTTACTTACCATGGTGCTTGGCCCGTCATGAACATTCTTCTTTTTTTTGTCTTTTTGGGACAGGGTCTCGCTACGCAGTTCAGGCTGGCCTTGAGCTCACTTTGTAGCCCAGGCTGGCCTCGAACTCACAACGATCCTCCTGCCTCAGCCTCCCATGTGCACCACCATGCCCGGCTTTTAATTTTAAAGAGATAGGAGAAAACCCCAATGAAACAGTTTCAAACCAAGCTAGTAGAACAGTAACAATAGTTAATATATTGTATATTGTTATCTTCATAGTAGTTATTCAGAGAACAAGATATAGGCAAGAAATGTCATGCAAGTAATACTAGCTCAAAACTTTCTTTTCAGTGAACTAAGAGAAACTAGCTGTATCACTATCTTAACCATCTTGTGTATATATATATATTTTTTTCTTTTCCCTGTTGGAAGGTTTTGACAGGGTCTTAGAAGTGAAAGGTATAGGGTTATGTCACATGATGATGGTAGAAGAAGGTAGATACTCCCAATTTGCATATACAATTCACATTTGGTTAGATTTTTTTTTTTTTCCCCCCCTGGTACCAGGAATCGAACTCACAACCTTGTGCTTGCCAGGCAGGCACTGTGCCGCTGAGCTAAACCCCCAGCTGACAACTCACTTTTAACACTCTTAGCTATCTTCTTCTGAGGAATTTCATTACGTATTTCAGTTATTTATAACTGCTTTGTAGTAATGATGGGAGAAGTCAGTGTAGTATGGGGTGAGAAGTCTGGGTTTTGGAGTTAGACTTGAGTTCAAATCCTGGTTCCTCTGCTTATTTGCTGTGGGGCTTGGGCAAGGTGTTTTTCTTTTCTTTTTCTTTGTTTGATCTTTTTGAGACAGGTTCTCGCTATGCAGTTCAGGCCTTGAGCTCATTTTGTATACCAGGCTGGTCTCAGACTTGTAATGATCCTCCTGCCTCAGCCTCTCCAGTGCTAGGATTACAGGTGTGCGCCACCGCGCCCGGCCCTCTTCATGGTCCTAAAGGTACCAAGGATCTGACATGTACAGGTCCAGATTCATGATTTTTACCCCCACCACGTAGTCTTTAGTTTCACATATTTCAGTGGATGTTTCTACTGTCCAACCTATTACTCAGGCTAGAAATTTTTAGAGACTTTGGATTCCTTCCTCATTTTCTTTTCTTTTTTTTTTGGCCTTTTAGAGACAGAGTCTCGCTATGCAGTTCAGGCTGGTCTTGAACTCACTTTGTAGCCCACGCTGGTCTCGAACTCGCAATGATCCTCCTGCCTCAGCCTCCCCAGTGCTGGGGTTACAGGCATGTGTCACCGCGCCCGGCTCCTTCCTCATTTTCTATCCATCACCACAGTTTTCCAGTTTCCTTCCTGAATTCCCCTTTCGGCTCCCGCCATTCTTCTGTCTCTTGCCCGGAACACTTCATTAGCCTTCAGCTAGATTCTGTGCAACCAGCTGTGGTCTCCTGAGTATTCTTCGGCTGTAGTTGAAAAGATAAAAACAGCAGAGCATAGAAGCTTGGCCCGCTTCAGCCCTGCCCCTCGGTACCTTCCCGTTCCTGTCAGGGTGGCGACAAGGCCTTGGGTGATTTGGGCCCTGCTGACCTTGCCAGTCCCAGCCTGCATCCGCCGCCCAAACTGTGCCTCAGCCTCGGGCCTGGTTTCAGCCTCTTAGAGATACTTTTCTTTCGACTCTCTCCCTTCCCTGTACAGATGTGTGCATTAGCCTCTTGGCCGTTGTCGGGAAGAAATCCCCGACATCTGCAGTGTGAAGGATAAAAGTTTATTCTGGCTCACGGTTTGAGTCTGTGGGCAGCGGCCTCTGGGTACAAACAGGGTAGCAGGGGGCCGGGACAGAGGGCAAGGTGCTGATCCCCTGGCAGCGGGAAGCAGAGAGAAGGGAGGAGCGGGGCATGAGCACACACCTTCCCAGGGCAGGCCCCTGAGGTCCAAGCCTTCTGACCAGGCCCACCGGCCCACCTGAGTCTAAGAGAAGATCTAAACTAACACCGTGGTTCTCTGTCTCGGACGGGATGTTCCCTTCCCCTCCGCTCCTCACATTTAGCTCACGTTCCGCTGTGGATCTCAGTGTAAAATTCCGCCACTGAGGCGCTTTCCCCGCCCTCCAGACCCGGTCAGGCGTTCCCATCGTCGTGTGTGCTCTGGACAGCCTGCCGTTGTCTTCACGTCCGTTGTCATTCTGTGTATTTAAACTTTTTGGTAAGCATTTGACTAATTTCTGTCTCCATTAGATCATACATCTACTATTAGGTCTTAATAAGTATCAGTTGAAGAAGTTAATGTTGAATAAATGAATATAAAACATCTAGCACATATCCCAGTGTGTGGCACCTAGTAACTACACAGTAAACGGCAGCTGTCATTATCGGGGTGCTTCCTGCCTTCCTTACTCTTACAGGGTCCTGCTCAGCATGCTGTTTTGGCATTTCTTTCTGAAGGTCTTTCTGAGGACTTTCCCTGGTTTTTTTTTTCTCAGTCTAGTAGAATGAGGACAGCAATGGTTGTTCCCTGCTTACTCGGAGACTTGCTGAGAAGCATTTTACAGATAGGTAGTGTCAGTTAATTCTCAATTCTATTCCTTTTTTTCTTCTTTTTGGTACTGGGAATCAAACTCAGGGCCTTGTGCTTGCCAGGCATGCGCTTGTGCCGCTGAGCTATATCCCCAGCCCTTAATTCTCTCTTTTTTGTCTTTTTGAGACAGGGTCTCGCTATGCAGTTCAGGCTGGCCTTGAGCTCACTTTGTAGTCCAGGCTGGTCTTGAACTCACAGCGATCCTCCTGCCTCAGCCTCCCCAGTGCTGGGATTATAGGCGTGCGCCACTACGCCCGGCACCAGTCCTTAATTCTCAATTCTAGGAGGTAGGCACTGTTAATTATTTCCTTCTATAGTTGAGGAAACTCAACACAAGGAGGCTGAGAAAGTTACCTGAGGTTACCAAGTGACTTAGTCACCTCTTTCTTTGCTAGGGCGAAATAC